AATGCTCTTGTAGATGAATGGGCAAAAATTCCCACAGACACTCGAAAATCTTGTGGAAAGCTTCCCAGAAGAGTGGAAGCTGTTATAGCTGCAAAGAGGAGATCAACTCCATATTAATGCCTATGGATTTAGAATGGGATGTCTTAAAAGCTCCTGTAGGTGTAATATGTAGGTGTCCCAATACTTTTGTCCATATAGTGTATGTGCATGTGTGCATTTTGGCGGCCACAACGCATGCCATGTTCTCAAGGTTCACTCATTAATTCATATTCACTACACTCAAAAGTAGTCTTTTCTATCACTTGTTTTTAAAGAATGATATAATTTGATAAAGTATTGTGGAAACTGTGCTTTACTACATTCAAAAGTACATTATTTCAGTTATATTATAAATCTATTGACATAAACGAAATCAATCAATACCTTGGGGCAAACTGAACAATAGAAAACGACACACATAAAAAAGATGCTTCTTTAAGGGTTCTTTAATAAAAATGGTTCTACAAAGAACCATTTGCATAATTAAAGGGTTCTGTGCATCATGAAAGGGTTCTTCAGAATGTGCTGTAGACTAATCTATATAGAACCTTTTGGAAAAGGGTTCTATAAAGCACCCAAAAAGGTTCTATTGTTACAATGTTAAGCTTGTTACAATAGGTTCATGGTTCGATATAGAACGATTTTCTTTACTAAAGAACCCTTAAAGAACCATCTTTTTAAGAGGGAACACTTTTAGCAAAAAGGGTTCTATATAGTACCAGAAAAGGGTTCTTTGGCTTGTAACAGTAGTGGAACACGTGCTATATGAAACCGTTTTCAAAAAGGTTCTACATAGAACCATCTACAGCACATTTTTCATCAATCTGTAGAAGCCATGGTGCAAAGAACCCTTAAATCATGCAAAAGGTTCATTGAGTGTTCATGGTTCTTTAAAGAAGCATTTTCTTTAATAAAGAACGTGTGAGTGTAGAAGACATCGACCTGACCCCCAAAAGCAATATTGGGACACTAAAGCAAATGTGGGCACACATCATGTTCAGACCAGGGATCTCCAAATCCTGGGAAAGCCACTGTCCAACATAGTTGACTCAAAATGTTATTAAAATATTGCTTTACAAAATGTAAATGAACCTCTTAAAATCCCAGGCTTATTACATACTAAGGCTTATTATTCAGTAACTACAGTGACTTCAATGCAAACTGGTTTAGCTATTCTTAGTTATAGAAGCATGTAATAAAACTTTGGGCCTGCCAGTGGACCCAGGTCATTTTAGGGGTTAATGAGTTGAATTAATCTGACCAAAAACAGTGTCTCTTGGTAATACAATGTAGGTGAGAAAGATTGCAGATACATTGGTAAACCCAAAATCAAATGTAAATGTACTGAAGTGATGGAAAGAAGATGTGTTCAAAACCTCTGGCTGAGAAAAAGAGAAAATCCACCAAGCCTGGTTGAGAATGTTGAGTTGTACAAACTCATGCACTCCCTGCTTAGAAGACTTTAATCTGTCATCCAAATGAAGGGACATGCAAAAAATACTAACCTAAATAGAATACTTAATACTGACCTACATAACGGAAAGAGACACTAATGCTTGTTCCACTACTGTTTGAGTACTTTTACTTGCTTTACTTAAGTTTTTAATGGTGGTCGTTATTGTTGGTTGTATAACTTTTTTGGATACGAATGAATAAATCATAAATTTATTTTGCAAATTAAAAAATAAACCAGACAGATATTGTATTTAGAGATTGTCCCAAGACCACTTTTGGCTACTCACGTCTTACAGTGGTGCCGCAGTAGTATTGTAGGCACAGATGGGGGGTGTTATGCCTGGTAGAGTTGAATGGGTTTCTGTTATGCAAATGATGATAGCAACTGTTAACAACTGTGCTGGAGATGGAGGAGCCTCCTCAAAGGCAGTTCAGGAACCTTATAGAGCCAGAATTAACAGACCAGCCTTTGGCCTACACACAGGCATGGACTGGCCATTTAGAGGACAAAGAAAATTCCCGATGTTCAGCTAAGTGTGTGGGCCGCTGAGAAAGTGCATGGTTGTTTCTAATGTGGTCCTATATAAAATGAATGGAGACCACCAAGGACAAACAGCATTTGCCGGGCCAGTACTGGAGAGATATGAATGAGCAAATGATCACTTTAGCTTGAAAAGTAAAAAATAAACCAGACATGCATTGTATTCAGAGAGTGTTCCAAGACTACTTTGTGGAACTGTATATATACTGTATATAAAAAGTGCTGTAATTTTTATACTAAAATACACTATATGGACAAAAGTATTGGGACACCTACATATTACACCTACAGGAGCTTTTATGACGTCCCATTGTAAATCCATAGGCATTAATATGGAGTTGGTCCCCCTTTTGCAGCTGTGACAGCTTCCACTCTTCTGGGAAGCTTTCTACAAAATCTGGAGCGTGTCTATGGGAATTTTGGCCCATTCATCCAGAAGAGCATTTGTGAGGTCAGACACTGATGTTGGATGAGAAGGCCTGTCTCACAATCTCCATTCTAGTTCATCCCAAAGGTGTTCAAAGGGGTTGAGGTCAGTGCTCTGTGAGGGCCAGTCAAGCTCTTCCACACCAAACTCACCCAGCCATGTCTTTATGGACCTTACTTTGTGCACTGGGGCTCAGTCATGCTAGAACAGAAAAGGGTCTTCCCCAAATTGTCCCCACAAAGTTGGAAGCAGACAATTGTCCAAAATGTCTTGGTCTGCTGAAGCATTAAGATTTCCCTTCACTGGAACTAAGGGTCCTAGGCCAACCCCTGAAAACAACCCCATAGTATTATCCCTCCTCCACCAAACTTTACAGTTGTCACAATGCAGTCAGGCAGGTGATGTTCTCCTGGCATTCGCCAAACCCAGACTCATCCATCAGACTGACAGATGTGATAGTGATTCATCACTCCACAGAATACGTTTCAACTTCTTTAGAGTCCAGTGGTGGCGTGCTTTACACCACCCCACCTTACTCTTCTTAGCATTAGCTAGAAAGAGTTGCTGAGTTAGCATACTTAGTCTAGCTAGCTGTAGTAGCTGAATACACCAACATGCCATTAGACCAGCCACAATTAAGAACTTTTATTTTGTTTTTCTCAGTTTAAGATAAAAATCAAATAATGTAGACCTATAAAAATCAACTATGTATGCTAATATAAAAAAGTCTTCAACAATTAAATTATGTCAGAAAATGCTGGGTTAATACTCATGACAGACCTCTACAGACATTCAAAATGTGATGTGAAGCACAACGTTATGTCCAAAATAGTAAGTCTATTTTGAACTTCGCAAACTGCAGCTTCTCTAATGGCTCCTTCCCGTCTGCTTCATGCAGCAGCCAGCGACAACTGAATGCAAAAAGTGTGCAACGTTTTCAACCATCTTTTTTGTTGTTTGGGTTAAGGCCAGGCAATATAACAAAAATATAAAATCATTGTCACCATGCATTCACACCAGCAGTGACTTTTTGCCAGTAGACTCTGATTGTTTCTGGACTCCAGCTGACCTCTGGTTGCCATGGTTCCACTGATCAGGGTTATTATAGTTAACTAAACAGTTTGAAAAAACATTGAAACTAAATCAAAACTACAGTTTCCACTGCAAAACTGGCTAGAATGCAAGAATTACTGAGAAAAAATACAACTTTAGTTTTAGTTTTTTCAGTGTGAGAATTAGAGTTTAGAAGTGGATCTCTTCTGTGTTTCTATGCTGTCTATTTGCAGCGTAAGCACCGCTTCCATTCCTCCAACTCTAATATGAACAAACATCTTGGAACCAAAAAAGCAAAAAAACACGTCACTGTGCCGGAGATAAAGCACGTACCATCCTGCTCAATTCCTATTGGTAAATGCCATGTTGCTTCACTTCTAATTTGCACAGAGTTAAACTTTGTTCAACTTTGTCGCATCACTGACTCCGCCCACTTCACATCACCAATGTTCGCGCTACCTCCTGTTGCTGAAAATTGTCAGCGCTCATTGAAAATGAATGATTTCATTTTCAATGAGTGCTGATTTCACCTGTAGCGCCACACCTCTGCCAGTGTGAACTCAGTGTAATAATACTAAGTTTTTCTGAAGTTGTATTAAATTATTACAATGCCAACAAATTGGAACAGGCCTAATTCGCCAGCACAACTGCAGTGCGAAGTTTATGAAAGGCTATATATATACATTTTTTTAGTCATTCTACTTTGTTGTAGTTGTTGTTTACAACAAAATTGGTCCAAACTTCTCTTCATGATTCATGCAGTTGTTCAGTGTTATAGAAGTACAGACGATACTCATGATATATAAAGCATCTTGTTGTAATTCATCATGGTAGTGATAATATATCATCGCCCACCGCTGGTTATATATGCACACTGTGCTGTAGCAGTCCTTTTCATTCTATTGTACTTCCCATTGTAAGCGTATACTCAACTGCCCATAAATCAACTTCGGAAGTAGCAGCTTTAGCTTTGGGACCGTTACAGTTTCCGCAAGAGAATGGCATCTGTCTGCGTGCGTACGTGCATATCTGTGACAGTGTTCTGTGGTGCATAAGTGTGAGCGCCATCATTTTGTGCGCACGTTTGTGAGTGACTGAACGCCAGGCTGACACGCGACATGGTTTCCTTTGTGGCAGGTGCAGTTAAACCGCACTGCTTTTCCTGAGTTATCAAGATGAGCTCACCAGCCGAAGCTCACTAACAAAACACACAGCGTCTCTAAACGCTCAAAACAACTCATTACACAGGCTCTCTGAATAAAATCCGAATTTTATTTGTGAAGCTTCCTCACAATACATCTTTTATATTAACATCTGTCTTTATGAGCCGCAATGAAAAGAAGCCCAGATCGTATTCCCCTTTGATTAAAGTCTCTTTCAGAATTCACCGCCTTTGATATCCTCACGGTTCTCATTTCTAGCAGTTTGGTCTATTCAAATGTGTCTGAGAAATAATGAAGTTTTGTGTGTTTGTGTTTCATACAGGGAGTGCAGGTGAAGTCGGACTACATCCCTCTCCTGCAGTCGCTGGCCTCGTTTGGATGGAAGCTGACCTGTGTGTTGCCCACACCAGTCGTCAAGACCAACAGGTAGCAGGACGCTGTTTCATTGTATGCTGTTATTAGAATTAAAGGGGTACTCTGGCCAAAATGAAAAATGCAGCCATTCCCACATCCACTGTAAACATGTCTACTGACCTCTAATAGTGGTGCTGCGGTAATCTTGATTCACAGCTGTGGGACGTTATGCTTGGTAGAATTGAATGGGTTTCTGTTATGCAAATTCTGATAACAACTGTAACCAACTGTGGTGGAGATGGAGGAGCCTCCTCAAAGTGCAAGACCTTACAGAGCCACAGTTAACAGACCAACCTTTGGCCTATACCCAAGGATGGACTGGCCATGAGAAGGACAATTACGTAAACAAGATTCAAAGAAACAAAGAAAGTACACAATTTGTACAGATGGGGTTGGTCAGCCAGGTCATTCAGTACACTAAAGCAACAGAAGGCTAGCTTAATGTTTATGTACCATCACACACTAGCTAACCAGCAGTCACTCCAGTTCTTAGCCAAGTTACAGCATCTTTGACATGTCCACACTCATGTTATTTGGAAATATGCCTCCACTCACTGTAAATATATGGAAAAAAGTATTGGGACACACCTCTTAATCATTGAATTCTCGTGTTTCATTCAGTCCCATTGTCACAGGTGTATAAAATCAAGCACATAGCCATGCAGTCTGCTTTGTGAAAGAATGGGTCGTTCTAAAGAGCTCACTGAATAAGAGCGTGGTACTGTAATAGGATGCCACTGCTGCAACAAGTCAGTTCACAAAATTTCTTCCGTCCTAGATATTCCACGATAAGCTGATTATTAAAAACTGGAAACGTTTAGCAACCACAGCAACTCAGCCATGAAGTGTCAGACCATGTAAAATTACAGTGCGGGTTGCAGAGTGCTGAAGCGCATAGTTCATAAAAGTTGCCAATGCTCTGCTGATTCAGAGTTCCAAACCTCCTCTGGCATTAACACCAGCACAAAAGCTGTGAGCCAGGAGCTTCATGGCATGGTTTCCATTCCTGAGCAGCTGCATGCAAGCCCTACATCAACAAGTACAATGCCAAGCATCAGTTGGAGTGATGTAAAGCACCACCTCTGGACTCTGGAGCAGTGGAAATGTATTCTGTGGAGTGATGAATCACTCTTCTCTCTCTGGCAGTCTGATGGTTGGGTTTGGCGAATGCCAGAAGAACATTGCCTACCTGACTGTAAAGTTTGGTGGAGGAGGAATAATGCTATGGGGTTGTTTTTCAGGGGTTGGTCTCGGCCCCTTAGTTCCAGTGAAGGGAAATCTTAATGCTTCAGCAGACCAAGACATTTTGGACAATTGTATCCTTCCAACTTTGTGGGAACAGTTTGTTCCAGCATGACTGAGCCCCAGTGCACAAAGCAAGGTCCATAAAAGCATGATTGGGTGAACCTGATTGACCCTCTCAGAGCCCTGACCTCAACCCCATAGAACACCTTGGAACAGACTAGAACAGAGATTGTAAGCCAGGCCCTCTCGTCCAACATCAATGTCTGACCTCACAAATGCTCTTCTGGATGAATGGGCAAAAATCTCCACACACACTCTCCAACATCTTGTGGGAAGCTTCCCAGAAGAAAAGCTGTTATAGCTGCAAAGGGGACCAACTCCATATAAATGCCTATGGATTTAGAATGGGAGGTCAGAAAAGCTGCTGTAGGTGTAATGTGTATGTGTCCCAATACTTTTGTCCGTGTAGTGTAGCAAGCTTAGTCACAAGAAGGGGTTGTTGCGGTTTTGGGGGTCGCTATCTTGTAGTGGGCTGGTCTAGAAAAAAGTCCTGAGCTAAATTTAGTTCCTAGTCCAGCCCTGCTTATAGCATTAACACAGTCTTTCTGTTTTCAAGCAAATCCAATTCACACCTGCACCAAACGCAGCATTAACGTTCCCCATTCTCACTTTTCATGAAAAAAACATCCTGCATGTTTTTAACTCTCAACACATTTCTCAGAATGCACAATATGCAAAATCTCACACGTCGCGTTGAAAATGAACTACTGGTTTCGTAAAGCGTCACAGGGTTGAGAATGAAATATGCAAATGAGTGAATGTGAACGGCTCTATCAAACCACCGGTTTCACTCTGTGTTGAAAAGATGTGTTTTGTCAGAATGTGTGTGTTGTCTTCTCTAAAGTGTAGGAATAGAGTTTCTGCTGTGGAGAATGTACTGCTTTGTGTGTCTGTGTGGAACTTTCAAGAAAACAAAAGGTTTAAATACTGTTACTGCGCAGTGTTCAGTGCCTTTTCTGGGTGGAGAAAGTCTAGGAGAAATTCTACACGAGGTTCTAGCTGTCAAAACACTGTTAAAGAAAGGGCACAGGAGGGGTCAATCGATTACTGGCGCTCTTCAGCCCCAGTGTGTCCAGCTCCCAGTCAAGGAGGGTCACCAGCAGGTCATTACGAACGTAGATTTTCTGTCATAAAGCATGTAAAAGGACTTTTTTTCTTAGTAGTATTTGGTCTGCTGGATGAATAAGGACAGAAATTGTGGATAATTCTCGAACTTCCAGAATGATCCCAGACTACAGTGATAAAGGTCATCTTCATCATGTGAATTGTGAACAGCTCCAAAGAGGCACATTCACATCAGGTGGACGAGGAGAATAACCTATGTTGTTTTGTTCTCTTTCTGTGTTTCTGCCAAAATGATGCCATTGACTTAATATCTTAAAATAATTAATTATTTTGAAATATTGACTTAATATCTGGAAATTTGACTAATTTTTACAAGATTTTTTTCAGATACTATGTCAAAATAAAGTAATTATTTCAGGTAATTAAGTTACAATTACAAGATAGAAAGTTGATATTTTAAGAAAATAAGTAATTATTACAACATAGTAAGTCAATATTTTGGGAAGCTAAGTCATTAATTTAAAATAATCAGTCATTATCACAAATAAATCATTATTTTGTTAAATTAAGTCAATACTTTGAGAACATAACTAATTGTTTTGAGAAACTAAGGCAATATTTAATTATGCAGTTAATGCATGAACATTTTCAGTTACCAGTGTTCTCTCACTACAATACACAGCATGCATTACACAAATACATCACACAGACTATTGGGAAGCCCCTCACTGCAATAAAGAAATCGTGACTGCTAGCGTAGCCCCTCATACAGAGGCTGATAAACACAGATGTCACATTCAGCTTCCTAACAGTAACATTAGCTATCTGTCTTCCCGCTACATTAGCCAGCTAAAGCCATTTCTAACAGCCCACCTTCATCTATCTGCCTCAAAGCAAAGTAGCTTTTCGAAACTTCCTCCCACCTTCAAGACACAGAAGGGGGTCTTTAAACTAGAAAATCTCACTCTAGAGACTACTGTAAGAGGCTAAACGGTATGTTTAGAACAGATGTACTGATGGTGTACCTACAAGGCATCCACACAGTGTGAGAGTAAGGCAGTTTTGTGCTGACAATGTGAGAAAAATTAACCGTGAATTATTTGCTTTAAAACATATGCACTCTCTTATATCAGGGGTGCACAGCTCCGGGCCTGGAAGGCTGGCGCCCAGCAGAGTTTGGTGATTTACCTGCTCAGACGTGCCTGATTACCCTCATCTGTTAAGTGCCAGGTTTAGTGAGTGTGTTTGAGTAAGCTACCAAACTCTGCTGGACACTGGAGTTGTGCACCCCTGGTTTATATGGTCATTCTGACAGATTGCAATACACTGCAGGAAGTGTAGGGAGCGACATGACTTCTGTTGTTTCACTGCACCATAGAACAATCGCCTGTCACGCACATGAGACTCTGAATGTTGGATGCACTGTAACAAAAGTGAGACGAAAGACTCAAGGCCTGGTAACTTTACTAGTTGATTAATAGTCAATAGATTGGTTATTAGAAAAGAAATAATTGTTAGTTGCAGCCTTGTAGGTTGCCTTGTAGGCAATAATGAAAAATGTAACCATCAGTACATCTGTTCTAAACATACCATTTAGCTACTTACAGTGGTGCTGCAGTAGTCTAAAGACTAGAAGACCCTTTCTGATGTGCTTTGAAGGTGCAGTGAAACAACAGAAGTCATATTGCCCTCTACACTTCCTGTAATGTATTGCAGCTTGTCAGAATGACCATATAAGCATTATAAGGCATTACAGAGTGCAATTATTTAAAGTAAATAATGCGTTTATGCATTAATGTTTTCCTCACATTGTCAGTGACTATTTAAACATGTGGCTAATTGTTAAAGCCTCATCACACATTAACAAACTAGAGCTTAGTGTTCCTGATATATTTCAACTGACAGCACAAAACTGCATTACTTTCACACTGGAAGAAATGTGTGGAAGCCTTGTAGGTACACTGGCAATGAGCTGCCATTTAGCCTCTTACAGCGTTGCTGCAGTAGTCTCTAGAGTGAGGTTTTCTAGTTTAAAGACTAGAAGACCCCCTTCTATTGTGTCTTGAAGGTGGGAGGAAAGCTACTTTGCTTTGAGGCAGATAGATGAAGGTGGGCTGTTAGAAATGGCTTTAGCTGGCTAATGTAGAGGGAAGACAGATAGCTAATGTTACTGTTAGGAAGCTGAATGTGACATCTGTGTTTATTAGCCTCTGTAAGAGGGGCTACGCTAGCAGTCATGATTTCTTTATTGCAGTGAGGGGCTTTCCAGTAGTCTGTATGATGCATTTGTGTAATGCATGCTGCATATTGTAGTGAGAGAACACTGATAACTGAAAACGTATAAAGGAATGGCCCTTTAATGTGTAATGTGGACCACTAAAATAATTCAGTCAGCACTTCTATAATTTCCCAAATATTTATTAAACTCACAAATTAATTAATCCCAACTTTTTTCGTTTGTTTACCTTTTTCGGATTGAGCACTTTACGAGTCCTTTTTGACGAGGGGGGTAGCCTGTTCATCTAGTAGGTACTACTCATGCAAGTAGGTATGCCTGCCTAGGCAAACAGGTACGCCTGCAAAAGTTTGAATGCCCCGTATTTTTTACAAACTTTAGTGCACACTGTTTACTGGAGATAGAT